CGTGTCCAGAGGAGGGCAACGAAGATGGTGAGGGGTCTGGAGACCAAGTCCTATGAAGAAACGTTGAAGGAGCTGGGTATGTTTAGCCTGGAGAGGCGAGGACTGAGAGGTGATATGATAACCATCTTCAAGTACTTGAAGGGCTGTCATCTAGAGGATGGTGTGGAGTTGTTTTCTGTTGCCCCAGAAGGCTGGACCAGAACCAACAGGTTGAAATTAAATCAAAAGAGTTTCCAGCTAAACATTAGGAAGAACTTCCTGACAGTTAACAGTGGTTCCTCAGTGGAACAGGCTTTCTTGGGAGGTGGTGGGCTCTCCATCTTCGGAGGTTTTTAAACAGAGGCTAGATGGCCATCTGAAAGCGATGCGGATTCTGTGAATTTAGGCAGATCATGAGAAGGGAGGGCAGGGAGGGTTGCCTCAGTGCTTAGTTCTCGTGACCCTTTCTTACATGCTCAGGGAACTGCCGGTCACCACGTTGGGGTCAGGAACAATGTTCCCTCTAAGCTGTGGAGTCTTGTGAGCAAAAATCCTACTTTATGAGCTACTGGTATTAAAGTTGTGAGTGAGAGATTTAGCTACTGCATAAATTAGTTTGCTCTGGAGCCATCCTTCCTGAGCTGAGACAAAAATGTGTGAGCCGGAGGCTAACAACCTGTGAGCTAGCTCACACTAACTCAGCTTAGAGGGAACGCTGGTCAGGAACCAATTTTTCTATAGGCTAGTTTGGCTGGCGATCCTGGAAGTTTTTTGCCCTCTACTGGGTATGGATCAGGGGTTACTGGGGGTGTTGGGGGGAGGTATTCGTGAATTTCCTGCATTGTGCCAGGGGTTGGATTAGATGACTCTGGAGGTACCTTCCAACTCTATGACTCTATCATTCTAGGCAGAGGTCTTTCACATCTCCTACTACTTGATCCTTTCAACTGGAGATGCCAGGGATTGATCCTGGGACCTTCTGCATTCCAAGCATGCTTTTGCACTTGGCTCCATTTTTCAAGCTCCTACAGAGATACGACACATTTGCAGTTCTCCCTGTAGTGTTCACAGTGCACCAAAGTTGTGTGAGTCACCTTTATCTAGTGGCACTGCCAAGCTCAAAAGGGAGAAGATAACTTACACTGAGGCAGCTGAGCTGAACGCGTCACCAGAGAACCGGACACATAACGCCCTCTCTCATCCACACACCAGCAGTGACCTAGGGTGCAAGAAAAAGGCACAAATGAATATTTGCAAGAGACACTTTGCAATCAGATGTTCCTTACAGGGTATGTTTGTTCCTTGCACTGTATTTTAAAAAAATAAGCAAGTGTTACAATGGTTGCTGCATCCAATGGAAGCAGATTCTGCAAAGGATGTGCCACCCTCATAAAAGTGAACAGGTAGGAGCCAAAGAGGATCATACAGTTCTGTACACCCCACGTTTCTGGCTGGAAACTCAAGCGGCAGACCTTCTGAAGCACACTTCTTTTGTGAGGAGAGATCATCGATGCAGCAATAGTGATGGACACGAACCGGCTGACGGACTAAATTTCATCACGAATTTAGGCCGGTTCCTAGTTCGCAAAGCAACGTTCACTAAGTGAAGAACCGCCACATGCTTCGATAAATTTTGGTGCAATTTGTGGTGGTTAGTGAACAGCAGAAAGCAGTTTACCCTGCTTTTCACACACAAAAAAACCCACAAAAGGCCACAGAGAACAGAAAGCAGGGTTTAAATGGCTTCGAGCGGCAGACCCTCTGCCTTCAAGTCATTTAAACCAAACAGCTGAGCAGCGGTCCCTGAAATAGACCAGCGTCTGGACAAGCAATGCTGGTATTTACAGTGATAGCCGTTCCTAGGCCTGTGTTCTACCACTTCACGCAGCAAAGCTGAGGGGCCATGGCTCGGTGATTGAACATCTGCATGGCATGCAGAAGGTCCCAGGTCAACCCCCAGCACCTTCCATTAAAAGGGCCAGGTAGTAGGTGATGTGAAAGACCTCTCTGCCTGAGAATCTTCAGAGTTGCTGCCAGTCTGAGTAGGCAGTACTAATATGGATGGATGAAGAGTTTGATTCAGAATCGGGTAGCTTCATGTGCTGGATGTCCAAAGCGTGAGGCCTTTCTCCAGTCTACGAGATTAATCACAGAAGTCTCCTTAGGCTAAAGAAAAGTCCCAAACTTTGCTTGGAAGAGGGGTAGGATAAAGTCCATACAATTTTTGAGCCTAGGCTCCTGTTCCCTAGACAACTGCAAAGAAAACTCCTCTGTCTGACAAAGGGGATTTTGACTCTTGGGAACTTATACCCTGAAACTCTAGTTGGTCCTTGAAGTGCTACTGGACTCAAATCTAACTGTCCTCTGATTCCTTCACTGACTACATTGCAGCTGTCGCATGGTTTTCCACCGATCTCCTCTCAAACAGATTAGACTTGAACATAAGAACATAAGAGAAGCCAATGTTGGATCAGGCCGATGGCCCATCCAGTCCAACACTCTGTATCACACAGTGGCCAAAAATACCAGGGGCCTTCAGGAGGTCCATCAGTGGGGCCAGGACAATAGAAGCCCTCCCACTATTGCCCCCCCCCCCAAGCACCAAGAATACAGAGCATCACTTGCCCCAGGACTGAGAGTTCCTATCTATACCTTGTGGCTAATAGCCACTGATGGACTTCTGTTCCATATGCTTATCTAATTCCCTCTTGAAGCTGGCCATGCTTGTAGCTGCCACCACCTCCTGTGGCAGTGAATTCCAAGTGTTAATCACTCTTGGGGTGAAGAAATACTTCCTTTTCTCCATTCTAACCCGACCTCTCAGCAATTTCACGGAGTGCCCACGAGTTCTTGTATTGTGAGAAAGGGAGAACAGTACTTCTTTCTCAACCTGCTCTATCCCATGCATAACCTTATAAACCTCAATCATGTCACCCCTCAGCCGTCGTTGTCCAACAGTGGATAACCATCAGCCAATAATGTTCATCACTCTTGGGGTGAAGAAATACTTCCTTTTCTCCATTCTAACCCGACCTCTCAGCAATTTCACGGAGTGCCCACGAGTTCTTGTATTGTGAGAAAGGGAGAACAGTACTTCTTTCTCAACCTGCTCTATCCCATGCATAACCTTATAAACCTCAATCATGTCACCCCTCAGCCGTCGTTGTCCAGCAGTGGATAACCATCAGCCAATAACGTTCATTTAATCAAGCATCTTCTAGCACAGGAGTCTCCAATGTGGTGCCCACTGATACCTTTCCTGGTTTTGGAATGTGTACAGGACCCGGTGGGGATTTTGCCCAACAGGGCTTCTGATTGGCCACAGGAGATCTGATTGGCTGAGCCGACTTAAAAAAACAACACTGATTCCAGCAGCTGCTGCCAGGACAGCACACGGATCTTCAGTGTGCGAGGGGAGGTAAGATGTGTGCACAATAATATTTTAAAACAAGGCATTTATTTTAAAAGGCTCAGCTTCTGCCTGAAATGTGTGACTATTGGAGTTATGCATGACCCTGACATTTTGAGGTTGGCTCCGCCTCCTGCGGCAGCCATCTTGTGGTCATCCCCCACCATACTGTGTTAGAATCCCCAAGTTGCCCACAGGTTCAAAAAGGTTGGGAACCCCTTTTCGAGCAAGTGGTTGCTAATAAAGAAGCATCTTCAGGTTTTAAGCGAAGAAGAAGAAGAAGAAGAAGAAGAAGAAGAAGAAGAAGAAGAAGAAGAAGAAGAGGAGGAGGAGGAGG